CCCGCAGCCCTCCCCTCCGAGCCGCAGCAGCGACTAATTCGGCCCATCTGGGTTTATTTATAGTTCCCATCCGCCCTTGTAGGGTAATTAAAACCATGGACGCGATCAGCGAGGTTCTGCAGGACCTCAGGTTTGATGCGGAGTCTGCCGAGTGACGGCGCGTCCCCCGAGACGACGAGGGCGGGGGAGCGGGGCCTGCGCGGCCGGCCCGCGCCCTAATAAAGCGCTTCCGCCAAGCCTTGCCCGGTCCGTGCTGCGGGGTCTGGGGCCGGGGCGGCCGCTGCCCCGCGCGGGAAGCTGTGCGTGAGCAGGCGGGCGTGCGGGGCTGTGCCCACGCCCCGGGCGGCGCGTCTCCCCCAGAGCACCGTGAGCCCCGCGCAGACCTCAGATCCTCCTTGGTGGAGCACCGGAGCAACTCCTTTATTTGGAAAGACTGGGGGGCCTGGGGAGGGGCCGTGCGTCCCGCACCCCGCCATGGGGGGGGTGCCGTCTGCTTCGGGTCCCTACAGCTTATCTGGCAGGACCTGCGGGGGAAGGGGAGAAGCTGAGCAGGGTCGTCCAGGCCCAGTGCCTGGCCCCTGGCCATGACCCGCCCCTCCGCGGGCCTTGGGTCGATGGGGTCCCCGAGGCCTCACGGGGGCTCCCGCATGCACCGGGAGGCGCTCAGTGATTGCTGGAGATGCCCTTAGGGTGTCGGGCCTGGGATCCCTCCCGGCACCCCGCCCGGGTCCCCCTTTACCTCTCGCCGCGCTCCTTCGGCCCGAGGGCAGGATCCCCTCGTCCTGTGCTTGGAAAGAAGACGGGGAGTGGTGCGGGCCGCAGCCCCGCCCCGCCCGCGCGGCCCCCGCAGCCCCCGGCCGCCCCCTACCTGGTGGCGGGTCTTGTGCGACTTCTGCATCCAGGCGCGCCACTGGTCGTAGAGGCGGAAGCTGAGGTTGGAGCAGTACGCGTGCTTCTTCAGCCAGCCCAGGAACTGCTTGAGCTCGCGCCGCACCGGGCCCGAGCTGGGCTCGCCGCCCCGGGGCTCGCACG